AGCATATACATCATCATAGGTCACTACATTCTAAACGTATAAAAGAAAGTGAGCCTGACAACACTGTAAATGTATACTTCTTTGAAGATACAGTAATATAATTCTTATGCTTCCCACACTTATTCCACGAAGAAGTTCTAATGTAATCAAAATCACTTAAAAAGAAAGCTGAATAGGAGGGTCACCTCTGTCATTTCAGCACCCTTTGAATGGGATATCGTCGTGTTAAAGAAATGCCTATTAACAACTATAGAGAGACAAGCAAACAGATCAATAGCACTCAGTTCACATCAGAGAAATTGCATGAACAATTACTAACTGCAAGAAAGATGAGCAAACTGGGTGGACCAAATTAACAAAATCAGAAATGAAAAGGGGGTTGTAACAGACACTGAGGAATTCCAAGCAATCTTTAGGTCATGCTTCAAAAACCTGTACTCCACAAAATGGGAAAATCTAAAAGAAATGGACAATTATCTCGATAGGTACCACATACCAAAATTAAATCAAGACTAGATAAACAATTTAAATAGACCTATAATCCCTAAAGAAATAGGAGAAATCATTAAAAGTCTCCCAAACAAAAAAAAAACCTAGGGACAAATGGTTTCAGTGCAGAATTCTACCAGAATTTCAAAGAAGAGCTAATGCCAATACTCCTCAAATTGTTCTACACAATAGAAACAGAAGGAACATTGCCAAATTCTTTTTATGAGGCAGCAGTTACCATGATACCCAAACCACACAAAGACTCTACTTGGAAAGAGAATTACAGATCAATCTCCATCATGAACATTGATTAAAAAATACTCAATAAAATATTGACAAATCAAATCCAAGAACTCATGAAAAAAATCATCCACCCTGATAAAGTAGGCTTCATCACAGAGATGCAGGGATGATTCAACATAGGAAAACCTCTCATATAAACAAAATGAAAGAAAAAAACCCACATGACCATCTCATTAGATCCTGAAAAGCACATTTTAGACATGTAAAAACAGCTTAGTCATAAACACCACTACACCTAAGGCTGTATCCGATAACCAGACCTCAGTGATATATCTCACCCCAGATACCCAGACACAGTCCTAGAACCACATGACATCCACTTGGCAGTACATAAACAGAAACCAAGAGCAATGCTCTACTATAGACACGTGAAGCGATATCACCTTGATAAGCCCTGGGCATAGAGCATCTCCCTCAGGATCATGACCCATGAATCAGAGACTTCTGTTAGAGACTGGACCTGAATATCAGCTAAGATACTTTGCATAGATGAGCAGCCCTGATGGGATAGGCTTAGGACCATAATAGGGAACTCAGAGTGTGAATCTTGTGTGATGAAAAATGGCCTACTAAAATGTTATAATAACTATACATATATGCCTTCTTGCTCACAAAAGTTAGGATCACCTTCCTGTGACTGTTGATTGCCTTGTCTGCCTCAGAATGAGGAAAGGAAAACTTTTCCAAACCAAATGCAAGAGAACAGATTTATAAAGAAACAATGTGTGATTTCTATTATACACCTAAAATGACTTGTTTTGCTCTAATTAATTGCTTTATAAGTAAAAAGAACTTTTGAAAACAAATTTATCTGTGTTTTGTATGTGTATGTTTGTATGTTTGAGAAAATGACTTCCATTTGTGTATAGGTGACACACCAGAAAAGTGTCTATCAGATCCCCTGAACCTGGAGTAGCAGGTAGTTATGAGCCTCCTGATTTGCGTGCTGGGATCTGAACTCAGGTCATCACCAAGAAGAATATGTGCTGAGCCACCTGCCAAGCCCAATAATACTTTTTATCCAAAAATCTAAAAGTCTTCACAGATTAACAACAACACACAAATAAAGTATATAAATGATCCTAGGGAACATGATACATCAATGTTAAGATGTTGTCTATGGTTAATTTGCACCATGAATAGAATATAATCCAAAGACAATGCCCAAATATTTATAAGAATAAAGCTGATTCCAAAACTACATGCAAAGCAGAAACATTCAGAATGCTCAATGCAATTATTAAAAAAACAGTACACACACTGATATAATATGTCTTCTATATTTACCACGAAAAACTACAATAATCAAGAATGTATACAATATTTGTACAAGAAGAGAGGATGGAGAGAAAAAGCCAAGAAAAAAAGCAGGAAAATCAACTTTTAACCAAAAGACCAAAGGAAACTCAGCCAAACACAGCTACCTATGATTCTATGTGTACAGAAATTAAGTAAATACAGATTTTACAACTCTAACAAAATTCATTAAAATTGACCTTTAAACTGTTAATTTTCTGACTCTTTAGCTACTGATATTTCTTCCAGAGAGATTCCATGCTCGGGAGCCCTCCCAGCAAATGGAAGCGATCTCCTCCAGAGCCTACTATGATGTCGTGACCCCAACCATAACATTGTGTTCAGTGCTACTTCATAACTATAATTTTGCTGTTATGAATTATAAGTATCTGTGTTTTACAGTGGTTAGGCCAGTCCTGTGATAGGGTAATTTGATTTCCCCCAAAGGCAGCTATAACCCATAGGTTGAAAACCACTGCTCTAAATGGATACATATAATAAATAAATAAATACTAGCACTTAAAAAATAGAATGAAATTCTTAAACAAGGAAACAAAGGGATTATGGCAGTAATGCATTGAAACAAAGTGAAATTTTAAAAATGTTATCAGTAATTGATTCTTTTATTATTTATTTATTTATTATTTAGGTTAGAAACAATCTTGTTTCACATGTCAATCCCAACTCCGTCTCCCTCCCCTCTTCCTCTCCCTCCCCACCAGGTCCCCCAGTCCCCCACTCAATCTCCAGTCCAATCCCCAAAGAGGGTGAAGCACTCCATGGTGGATCTCCAGTAACTGTTATTTCATCCAGGGCAGGGCCTAGGCCCTCCCACAAGAGTCCCGGCTGAGAGAGCCTCCCATACTGTGGCATGGGCACTCAAAGTCTATTTGTACACCAGGGATAAATACTACCCAAGGCCCCATAGATTACCTAGGCCTCCTTACTGACACCTACATTCAGGGGGTCTGGGTCAGTCCCATGCTTTCCACACAGCCATCAATCTGGAGTCCAAGAGATCCCCCTTGTTCAGATAAGCTGTTTCTGTGGGTTAAACCAACCCACTCTTAACTCCTTTGCCCATCAGTTCTCTCTTTCTGACATTGGATTCCAGGAGTTCAGTTCAGTGTTTGTCTGTGGGTATCTGCCTCTGCTTTCATCAGTTGCTGGATGAAGGTTCTGTTTCCTAGACTCTCTGGCAGTGGGATTGTATGCTGGTACTCCCCTGATTCATGTCTAAAATCCATAAATGAGTGAGTATATACCATGTTTCTCTTTTTGTGACTGGGTTACCTCACTCAGGATGGTTTCTTCTAGTGCCATCCATTTGCCTGCAAATTTCAAGATTCCATTGGTTTTTTTTTCTGCTGAATAGTACTCCATTGTGTAAATGTACCACATTTTCTCTATCAACTCTTCAGTTAAGAGGCATCTAGGTTGCTTCCAGGTTCTGGCTATTACAAATAATGCTGCTATGAATGTAGTGGAATAGACAGGCCTTGTTGTATGAAATAACTGATTCTTTAAGGAGATAAATATAATTGAAAGAACACTTAGCTATCCTGACTTTTGAAATAGAGTAGGCTCTTCTCTGGTAGGGAGAATGCCATTAATAAGACATTATATGACTTTCTCCCATGTAAAATGTTAGCTACTGAGTGCTGTAAGCAGACACGTAGAGTTACAGCCAATAGCCTGTGCCTCAAACCTCTGAGATGACTTAATTGTGTCAACCAGGATTGCACATACATATCTGCAAGGGAAAGTTGCCTAATTGCAAATTCAACATTCATTGGCTCAAGATAACCTTTTCCAAGCTGTACACCCACACCAGTCTGTGTTCATTCACATAACATGAATTAAAACATGCTTGGAAATTACAAAAACATCACCGATACCATAATTAGGTCCTTTTTCATAATGGTGACTCCAGCAACTGATTGCCTACCCTGTTTCCCTTGCGATAAACACAATAAACTACTCCTCCTATTTTGGTCTGAAGGCAGAAACAAAGCTCCACATGCAAATCCTTTACCTGTGACTGCTTTGATAGTTGACTACATGACTCAAATGGTCAATTTTAAGTCTCTGAGATGGTACAGTCATTTAATTTAAGAATTTTGGAGATGTAATATAGAAGACAGCAAGGTCATTGCAATGGAGAGCAACAGACTGGAATCAAAGCTACCTGAGTCAACATAAGAGAGCTTGTCTCAGAAAGATTTTTTCTAATATGATGGAAATGCAGCTGTCCTAGAATTAATATGCTTTCCCAGGGAGAAATCACTTCATACACTTGGGAGATTAATAAAGAAAAATCTCTTTAATGATGGCATGCATCCCATCTCTAGATAATTCTCAAAGTGGAGCCAGCTTAGACACACTTGTATTCCACAAATGCCATCATCCTTAAGTATCTTTTAGGTTCATGCTCCAGGTTACACTTTGAACAAATTAAAGAGACAGGCAACTTGTAGGTCTAAAACCAGAAATAAGCTTGGGAGAGCTTGTAAAGCTCTAGGGCCAGGGTCTTTGGGAAGGGTTATTCAGATACTGATAATCCAGCTCCACACATTGGGCTGTGGTTATCAGTACCAATGTCATTGGGAACCTTGATGATAATGTTCTTGAGTTACCCTGTGTTCCTCTTGTGCAACATTATCTGATTAGCCTCCTTCTCGATTTGTATACTTCCTTTTAAAACGGTATCCATTGGTTTACTTTAGCCAGAGACTTGCTGTTGAATTTGGCACAAATCTCCAGTCAATCTAGACTAGGTCTGGGCTAGGGGGTGGAAGCCAGTGGAAAACCCTGCATTGTGGTCCTTCAGCTCACTGGGTCCTGTCATTCATACCTCAGTAGCCAATCAGAGCCTCCCACGGGCTCTCCTGTCAGCTGGGAGGATTTCTTCCGGGTGCCAGGCTCCGCTCCTTTACTGAGGAAGACGGAAGTTGCTGCTCCGACCTTGGCTGTCCTGTGGGGAAGAGTCTGGGCAAGCTCGGCAGCCGCACCATGGTGAGTGAGCGGCCGCTGTCCCCAGACTGGGTGGAGCGGTTGGCTGAGCCACGGGAGCAGGTGTGGTGGGTCCTCCCCCGCCTGGGTGGGAGCCAGCGGCCAGACGCAGAGTTCGGCATGTTCCTGCCTGATCCTGAGAAGTCCTCCGTGGTCCATCCCAGGGACTGGCCGGCAGCCTCTGAGTAACTTCGTTCCACAGGCTGCATCTGCGCAGGACATTAGGAGCAGAACTGTGCGTAAAAAATATCCTTGTTGACGTCACTGTGAAATGCCGGCGCCTGTGGTGCCTGTATTGTCACTATGGAAAGCAGATTTGCCAAACCCGGAGAGTCTTAGTCTCTAGTATCTTCCAGAAGTTCTGCACTTTTAACATTTAGGTTGGGGATCCGTTTGGAGTTAATTTCTGTGGAGCTTGTAAACGGTATCTCCGTGTAGAGTAGCACTCCACAGCTGAAGTGTGGAGTGGAAGAGTAGAATTGATGGTATAAGGATTGACCAATTCTTAGAAGACATTAAGTAAAAAAGTAGAATTAAGCTAAGGGAGGGCTGCCTCTTAAATACACCAAAGATAAGTAGTATGTTAAACTTTCCAGTTAGAGATTAGTATGATAAGGTGTAAATGTTCGCCAGGATTAATGGAGGCAAGCCTGATTTACAAACCAGCAGAGAGGCCCATCCATCCATTAAAAAACTGGCCTCTAACATGTTGCTCAAGGGCCATTGCAGGGTCACAACCAACATGAAGTCCTGGTGTGCATGAAGATATATTAACTCTAGAACAGCCGCATCTCCAGCCTTTTTGAAAAGTGGTTTTTGAGTCAAGGTCTCCTATATAGATTTAGGTGGACTTGAACCCTGTCTGTAGTACGGGCATTGCGCTTGTTATCCTCTTGACTAGGCATCTTACATTCTTGGATTACAGGTCTGCAGCACCACAGAGTTCTAAAATTACCAGTTTGAGTCACATAGTGGACTGTAGATTGCAGTAACAGGAAAAGGATTTGGGTGTGGAGCAAGACTTCTTTCAGACCAGAAGAGGAAGTGTATTGGGTCCACTGCAGGGAGAAACAGACCAGACTATAGCTAGATCAGAGACTGACGTTTAAGAGAGTGAGCTGCAGGGGTCTCCATCCCAAAGAAGGACCTGATGGGGCAGAGTGAGTGATTGTCTGTGCAATTTAACTCTTTGTATTAATTCCTTCCATGTGAAGACAGAATGGGTGGGTGCACAATTTAAGGAGGGCAACTTGAACTAGTCAGTTTTCAGTTAGGGAACTCTCCTATGCAGATGCATGCAATCCTGGTTGACAGAGTTAAGTCAGCTCAGAGGTTTGAGGCACAGGCCATTGGCTGTAACTCCATGTGTCAGTTTACAGCACTCAGTGGCTAACATTTTATATGGGACAAAGTCATATAATGTCTTGCTAATGGCATTCTCCCCACCAGGGAAGAGCCTACTCTGTTTCAAAGTCAGCATAGCTAAGTGTTCTTCCATTTATTTTTGTCATTTTAAAAAGTCAGTTATTGCTATTAGTTTTAACATTTCATTTTCTTTTGGTTTTTCAAGACAGCATTTCTTTGTGTAGCCCTGGCTATCTTGGAACCAGCTCTGTAAGGCAGGCTCCCCTCGAACTCACAGATCTGCTAGCCTCTGCCTCCCAAGTATTGGGATTAAAGGTGTGTGCCACCACTGTCCAGCCAGATTTCATTTTCTTTAAATGTATTACTGCTCTAAGATCTCTTTCTGTTTCCCAGTATTTTGCAGTCATTAAGAATTTCATTTCATGATGGGCAGTTCCAGGACAGCCTCCAAAGCCACAGAGAAACCCTGTCTATTTCATTCCATTTTTTTTCTTAAATGCTCTGTATGTCTGTATGCATTTATTTATTTATTTATTTATGTCAGTTTAAAGCAGTGTTTCTCAACCTGGGGAGTTGAGGCTGCATTTGGGGGATCTAATAATCCTATCAAAGGAATGACCTAAGGCCATTGGAAAACATAGATATTTATATAAAAGGTCATGGCATTAGGAAGGTTTCGATCTACTGGTTTAGATCAATGTCTCCTATAGCTCAGGCTTGCCTCACACTATGTCATTGAGAATTGCTTTGAACGCTTAATCCTGTCTCTGCTGTGCAGGGATGGGAAGACAGTTCTGCAGCTCCTTGCAGGCTGGGCCTTGACTGTTCTGTGAGAAGGAAAACTAGACCAGTGAATGTGTGTTCTCCAACTTACAAATGAAGAAGCACCTGTGTAAGAATTGAGTTCACTGAACAACTGTAAAGCAGTGTAGTTGCAGCACAGAAAGGCAGAGGCAGGGAGGAGGGGGGAATCTTTCCTGCTTTGACAGTAGTTGACATTAGAAATAAGATTTTAGATGATCAATAAATGTCCTTACTGGCCATTTCTCTGGTTCACAGACCACGCAATCAAGAATCTAGATAAAGAACTGAACGTTTGTGAATACAAATAAATGTAGTTACACTAGTTCCACCAAAATGGAACTGTGGCCCTGCCTAAAATGACTGTTTTCGAGGTTTAAGATGATAACCTGAGAGGAAATTGTGTGAGTAGTACTTGGTGTGCTCTACTACAAATCCCTAGTCTCTGGAGTACATGGCCATAAAGCCTGATTCAACTTTTTAACATGATTTTTTTGAATTATAATTATATCATTTCTACTACCTTTCTTGCATCCAAGCCCTCCCATAGACACTTCATTGTTTTCTAATCCATGGCTTATTTTTGCTTTAACAACAGTTACTGTTTGAATGTGACCTGTGTTTGGCTGCAGGACCTCTGAGCTATGAATGAAAGGGTTAGCTGCACTGGACATTGAATGTGCACACCAAGGACTCTGTGCCTTGGAAGAGGAACAGGAAGTGTTCTGGGAGAATAGAAGATTCTATCAAACCACACATTTCTCATACTAGGTCCCTGTGTGACCTTAAGGTAGAAGGGCAGAGCTGTGATTGCCTGTGTTGTCTGAGTCATTTGATCTCTGCTTACCCAGTGAGGTTACTGCTAATGTCTGGAGCCCCAGCTGGGAGGTCCTAACTCTGGGAAGGCTTAGCAATCGGGAGCACCATTGGGAGGTAGCTTACAGGTTCTTTCCAGGATCCTCCTCTGTTCTGCTGTAGGGAGCTTTAAGAAAGACCACAAGCCATGCCATGGTGAGTGTGGGGGTCACTGACTCCAAGCCAGCAGGAGCAATCTGCTGAGCTATCCTAGCTGCTGGGACTGGGATGGACCATGAGCCAGACTGTGGATCTCTTGGTCCATGTGATGACCTGGGCAGTGGTCTTTGGCCTCTGAGCCTCAATGAATGTAAATTCCCTGGGGGTGGTAGTGGCAAGAGAGTCTTGCTCTGGCATGGAAGGATAAGATGCTGGTAATATCACTTGTCCAGTGTGTACACCCAGGCACTGCTTTTGGTATGCAGTGGGAAGACCGATTGGAAAATTGAATGTCTGGTTTCTAGAAGTTTTGAACGTTGTATTCCACTTTCATTTGTCTTATAAATGTTACAGATAGTTTAGAAACTGGTAGTAAGGAGGTGATGGGGATCATACTTCAGCAATATATAATTAGAATGCTTTCAACTTTCTGCTACCACCAGCCACAATGATGTGATTTGGGGAAGTTCAGTTCCAGGACACAAAAGGGATTTCTGAGCAGCAGAGGTTTCTCAGGTTTGTGGTGTTGGGCAGGTGAATAGGGCAGATGCCATATTTTGTGCTATAATCCATGTAGCAGGAAGAAGACACTGGATTATCTTTTTACATTGTTTTGTGATTGGACATCATTAGTGCTGGGTTTGCATGAAACCACAGGGAGCACGAAGAGCTGTAGAGCCATAGTAGGTTCTAGAGAAAATCACCTACATTTGCAGAGAGAGCTCTAGAGCATGTGGCCTTTCTGTTTGGAAGAAATACCAATAGCTAGAGGGTAAGAAATATAACAGTTTAAGGATCACTTTGAGTTAATTTTGTGGGAGTTGTGAAGTCTGAGTCTATTAAATTTCTATACACATGGAATCATAGGTAGCTGGGTAGCATTGGTCAAGATCAGTTTTCCTGGATGAGTTTCCTTTGGTTTTGATTGAAAGTTGACTATATTTTCCTGATTTTGTTTTTGGCTTATTCTCTCCACCCCTTTATTATTTTGCAAATACTATATACATTCTTAATTATTGTAGCTTTTGTGGTAAATACAGAAATCACATTTTGTCAATGTGTGTGCTTTTTTTTTAAGCAATCCCCTTGAGCGTTATGAATGTTTCTGAATTATTCTCCTGGTCAGGATATATCTAGTTGTTGTTCTGTATCTAAGTCTGATTTAATAGCTTTCTCTAAGGGAGAAGCTCTATTTAAGCTTTGTCTGGTATTTAACTCATAACATTCAATTTCAATAGCTTTTTTCAAGGGGTGTCTTTGAGTTGTAATAACTTGGCTTTAAGCAGTCCATTCCATCTTTCTGTATTGCCTGCTGCAGCTGGATTATATGTTAAATGGAAGACCTACTGTATGTTCATAGTCTAGAACTACCTCTGGACTTTAGAACCTGTAAAATATGTTCCTTAATGTGATTCAGTAATTTTTGGGCAGCTGTATCTGGTTATCTAACACCAGAATGTGTATGTTGTTAGCTAGTCCTGGTCTATGACTTTCTCTAGCTATCCAAGCCTTGTGCTTATTACATCTGCAAGGGCGCAGGCATATAGGGCCCCATAAGTATTTAGGGGTCCAGTGAAATCTATTTGTAGTTTATAATTACATTGTGTAGAAGACCATGTTATTATAATTACATTGTTTAGAAGACCATGTTACAGCTGGTACTTGATGTCTGAATCTAGTTTTAAGTACTGAACAAAGGTGGCAGTCTCTAATGGCTTGCTTACAGGCCTGCCAGTTTCCTTTTTTTTTTTTTTGGTTTTACAATACAGGGTTTCTCTGAATTGTTTTGGAGGCTGTCGGTCCAGCCCAGCCTCGAACTCACA